CCCCAGGCCTGGCTCATACTGGCTCCCAGCAAGTGCCCAGAAGTGCTTGTTGGCTGGGAGGACAGACAAAGCCCCACCTGCTTTCCTTTCTGGTGAGAGCACAGCAGGTGTGAGTGGCCTGGCAGGCAAACCTCCATCTGTACCCTGGCCCTGGGCTGAGGGACGGGGAGTGTGCCGGGGAAGCAGCCTGTAATCCTGACAGGAGGCAGGAGGAGAGGTCCAGAGGGCTCCCTGGGGGCCATGGCCACAGGCACTGAAGGCCAGGGTGGGCAGAGGACTTGGGGCAGGCAAAGGCCTCTTTGAGGAGTCTCTTGGCAGCAATTAGAAAACCTGCAAACCAGCTTCCTTGAACTTTGGCATCAGTTTGTTTTTCTCTCCCCATCCAAGAATGTGCTAGTTTTTGTGTTTACACAATAACCCTGCGTTGTTTTTCCAGAGTCCCTTAAAGTTACATAAGTGCTCAAACCAGGGCACCTGAGCTTATCCAACGAGAATGACCCTGGCGCAGGAGGCCCTAAGGCTTCCATTCCCTGTATCTGGAAAAGATAAGAGATTTTTAAAGACCGGCTCCTACTCTTCTTCGTAATCCCCAAGCTGGCCCCTCCTTGGCCAGCAGCCTATCTGCAAGTGTTTGTTTAGTTTCTTTCTGTTCAGGATAAATCCTGCCTCTGGGGAGCTGCAAGCCTTCAGCCTCAGGCCTCAGCCTGAGCTCTTGCCTGGCACCCTGGAAAGGTGTGCAAAGCACTGGTGAGGCCTATTCCTGTTTCTCCAATAAAAGCTGCTAATAAAGGCTTCCACTTATGAGGCACTGTGCTAAATGCTTCACGTGTGTCNTCTCCAATAAAAGCTGCTAATAAAGGCTTCCACTTATGAGGCACTGTGCTAAATGCTTCATGTGTGTCTGTTTATTTATCCCCATAGCAACCCGATGAAGACAGGTACAGCTGCCCCATTTTACAGATGACAAACCAAGGCCTACAGGGGGAAGGTAATTCTGTGAAGTCCGACAGCAGGTCGCAAGGGAGGCTCAGGAACAGCCTTCACAGGCCCTGACCCTGAAGCTCTCCACTTCCTTCAGCAGCTTATTAAGGCCTGAATGGCAGAAATCTGCAGGGTCCCCTCCACACCCCAACCAGCCAGCCCCTGACACCTGTTTGTCTCTCTCTTTACAGGAGCAATTTCTTGGGGGACAGCGACTCCTATGGATGTTGTGAAAAGTCGGCTCCAAGCTGACGGGGTTTATTTAAACAAATACAGAGGTGTCCTGGACTGTATCTCCCAGAGTTACCAGAAGGACGGTCTTAAAGTAAGCCCCACAGCAGTCACTTGGGGTCGGTGTCAGTCCCTGGAAGGGGGGGATGTGAGATTGTAGAGAAGGGAAACTGAGGTATTGGGGGTTACCATTTATCAAGCACCACAAGAGAAACTTGTCTCATCTAGTCCTTGCCCGGGCTATGGAGGAGGTAGGCGTGCGCCCCACCTGACAGAGGTTCAGAGAGGACTGGTAACCCACCTGAGATCAAACAGCTGCTGTGTGGCAGACCAGACCCCAACCCACATCTGTGTGCCACCAAAGTTTGGTTCTCATCTAGATAGGCTGGGAGATCCTCCCTCCCTCACTGCTCAGTGCCCCCCTCCCCCTGCTCCAAATGAGAAGCCCCAGACCCCCTCCTCATCACATCTCACAGGTTCCAGCTCCCTGATCTGTCTTCTGCTCTCCCACCCATGCAAGTCCAGACCCCATCACCTCTGGTCTCAGCTGTTGAGGCAGCCTCCAACCAGGCCTTGTCTCCCTCCTCTGCTTTTTCTCCTCCCTGAACCCAAAGGTTTTGTCCTAAACCCAAGCCCCTTCCTGCATCTAAACTGTCCCAGAATGAAGACCAGACTTCCATAACCTTGGCATACAAGGTTATAAACAAATTCATTCCTGTCTGTCTAGTCTTTCATGACACCCTGAACACCTCCAGAGAAACCGTCTTCTTTGCTCTTCCTCAAATAGGCCCCTGATTTTCTTGACATGTCTCAGAATCTGCAGACTTGAGTTCAAAGCCAGGCCTGGTTACTTGTGCACTGGAAGAATCCAGACAAGCCTCTCTATCTCTCTGGGCCGCAGTTTCTCCAAGGATAACCATCCCTACCATGAATGACAGGGATATTTGTGGGTCAAGTTAAATTATGCATATAAAAAGCGCTTAGCTTAATGCGTCATACATAAAGACTTAGAAAGGGCCATCCATTTGTCATTGGCATTAGTAGTAGTAGTTTTATTAGTTTTAATGTTACTGCTGATCTCTGGGCCTTGTCTCATATAGCTGCCTCGTCCCAAGCCCTCCAATATTTACTAACTGCCCACTACAGTGCACCCAACCTTATATTTGTTTTTGTTCCAATGGAGTGCTGGAACTTCTCCTCTGGAAACCTGGACTTCCACAAAGGCTGTCTTATCTGTGGGAGACTGCCCAAGTCAGTGTTCTCCAGGTGCTCGTGGGCCACGGCCAACAGGGACTAGGGCCAGTTCACAGACTACTGCAGATTCCACTGCCATTACGAGGCCTGTCTGCCTATCACCTGATGTACAAATGGGAGCCACTTCTCTTGGGTCCCTTAGTATATGATGCTGGATCCCTCAACTCCCACAGAGGCACTTTTGTTCACGGATGGATACCAAATTGTTGTTTTGAGGTGGGGACCAAACAATGACTTGTGCTGCTATGATGCCAACATCACTCTCCCTACAAATTTGGTGAATTTTTAAATTTCAGTTATTGTACTTTTCGGTTCCACAATTTCTGTTTGGTTTCTTTCTGGGTTTTCTGTTTTTTCACTGATATTTCCATTTCATTCATATATCATTTTCTTGACTTTTCCCACTTTTTCCTTTAGTTCTTCAAGCATCTATAAGATAGTTGTTTTAAAGTCTTTGTCAAGTAGTTCTGCTATCAGGTCTTTTTCAGGGACAGTTTCTGTTTATTTTTTTAAATGCCTTGTGATTTTTTGTTGTTGTTGAAAACTAGACATCTGAATCTAATAATGTGGTAACTCTGGAAACCAGATTCTTTCCTTTTCTGAGTTTAGTGTTTGTTTTAGTTTCTTGTTTTGTTTTTCTGATTGCTGCAGGCTGTCTCTGTGCCAAGGATCAGCTGTGAACTTAGGTTTTTCTGAGCCTGCACCTTTCCCTGGCATCTTCAGTCACTTTCTAATTCCAAACATGCAGTTGCTTTTGAATGTCCTAGTCTTTAAAAAAGAGAAAAATGAAGGGGGAGGAGCATCAGCCCTTTAAATTCCCTGAAAGTCACTTCAGCCAGAGGGGAGGGGCTTGTGTCAGTCCCGGGGTGGGGGTGGCATGGGGAAACAACAGTGGCACCTCTGTGACCAGAAACAGCAACAAGTGATTAGAAACAGATCTTCAATATTGGGAGGACAGGGTCCTTATTGCCTGTCCTGTGTCCCATAAGCTGTGTGCAGGTTGCTCCAGGAACAGTGCACAGCTTCCTACTACAGGGCTTGGGCAGAGGATGGGTAGCTGCTACTGTGCTAAGAGCTAAAATTGACTGAAATTATCACAATTTACTGTCCAAACCTTCCCCTGAAAGTTGCAAGCCTTCAGTAAACTCCAGAGATCCAAAAACAAACAGATTCCACTCATGCAGTTGTCGTCTAGGTGAAGAGGCAGATTCTTACCGGTATTTCTTACTCTGCCATCTTCCTAGAGTTCTCATCTCAGTTGTCTTTTTTTATTTCCCCCGACAGAAGCACAGTTTATGGCTCAACCGGCAAGTACAGAGAAACACATAAGAGAGATTCAAATAGGATACTCTGTTTTTATGAGATATTTTTGTCTGTTATCTGAAATATTAATGCCATAATTCTAAAAATATCTGTAGAGGCAAAACATGTTGCTGATATTATTTCCTCTAAAAATTACTGTGCTCTGTAAAAAAAAAAAAAAAAAAAAAAAAAGTCCTAGAGGGCAACTGAGGCCAGGTGATCAACATTTTTAGCTTGATAGCATTTGGCCCATAGTGTATAGTCAGATAGGTTTTAAGCAGAGAGCCATATGCAGCTTGATTCATCACCTCACTGACTGAGATTAATTTTAAAAATTTTTATTAGAAGGTTAAAAATATAGGTTATATATGAACATAGGAAGCATCCAAAGGTATAAGAGGTCATACTGTATAACTATCCCTCCTGTGGTTCCCACTCAAAGCAAGTGCCTGTGGTACTCGCTCAAAGGCAATCATAGTTATTTTGTGATATATTTTAAAAATATTCACAGCCCATGCATACATATATGTGTGTACATAGATTTGTGAATATTTGTATATGTGTTTGCTTACAAATACATATAGTAACAAAAATTCCCACACAGCCCTGGAAGGTTGGGATGTCTCCCAGTCATATTCTTTGCAGTGGGGGGAGCGCCTTCCCCAGGGCTGAGGGATGGTGCCCCTCCCACTCGGCTGGGCACTGGCTTTGTGGAGTACCCGCTCCAAAACGCTTCCACTGCGGCTCCCTGAGGCAGGTGCAAAGCCCTAAGCTATTCCCACTTTCCCTGGGAGGAGAACTCAGTGGCAAGAAAAAATTGGAAAGCAATAAAATAATGATGGTGCCCAATGTTAGCAGCCCGTTTTGTAACTTTCTTAATGATTACCAGTAAAGCAGCCTCTATGATAGGAGATTGGGAGTCCATGGATGTTCAGGGCATTCCCAAGTCAGACAGAACAAAGGCCTGGTAGTTTTGGACCCATCCTCTGCCTGCTGTGAGAATCACTGTGGGCCACAGGGGCCATGGCTCATACTTGGAGAGTTATCAGCTGAAAGAAGGATGCTGGAGACAGGATTTGGCGCCCTTTAGCTCCACAGAGGTGACTGTTGTGAAGGGGTTTGGGACAGTAGGATGAGGTTGGATAACTCTGAGGAGAGACAGGGTAACATTTGTAGTAGACAAGCTTCCTGGGGCACCAGGGTTGGTTGCTCTTTGGTTCTGCAACTTGGGGGGTCTGGAGCCTTCTCTCCACTCCAGGAATCCCCCATTATCGCAATCACCACTGGGACTCTTTCAGCTCAGAGACCATTCTTTTTTGTATCAAGAAGTTTCTTTCCTTCCTCCTTCCTCCCTCCCTCCCTCCCT